CTACATATGAGTTTGTATATGACCGTGCTTGGTTTTGTGTATATGTTTATCTTTGGATCTGTCTTCCACTTACAAGAGAAAACATGTGGGCTTTGTCTTTCTGAGCCTGGCTTACTTTCTTTTTTTTTTTCATTGCTGAGGATCAAACCCAAGGCCTGGTCCCTGTTAGGCAAGTGCTACACCACGGAGCTATGCCCTCAGGCTTCAACCTCCTTTCTTAAAGCATTTCCTTCAGAAATGTTGTGCTTGTCTATAGGTCCTCTGTGTCTTGATAGGTATGTAAATTTCATGTGTGTGTGTGCTAGTTTTTTATTGTGCTAAAATAGAGCAGAAAGTATACCATTATACCCATTTTTTTCTTTTCTTTTTTTTTTGCAGTACTAGGTCTTGAACTCAGGGCCTACACCTTGAGCCACTCCACCAGCCCTTTTGTGTGATGGTTTTTTTGAGATAAAGTGAAGGGCAGACTTCAGGAAGTGCCAAAAGGTGATAATTGGCCAAGGAGACACTTCTTCTTCCCAGGAAACAAATGTCTGTTTGCACCCCAGAGACATCTCCGCCCTCGGGCAATAAAAAAATGCTATAAAAACCCAATTTCCAATCTGATCCACGGGACCCTCTGAATTCCCCCTGAATTCCCTCTGAATGCCCCTATGCAGTCTTTCTCTTCTCTTCTCTACAGATAAAATCCTTTGAGTCCACCCCTGCTTTCCATTCTCAGAGTGGACCCAAGGACCCTCAACAGCTGAAAATTCCTGCATGTCATCCGTGTATCATAGGGTCTCTCAGAACTATTTACTCAGGGCTGGCTTCCATCTGTGATCCTCCTGATCTCTGCTTCCTGAGTAGCTAGGATTACAGGCGTGAGCCACTGGTGCCAGGCCACCATACCCATTTTTAAGGATGCAAATAAGTGACATTAAAGACTATCTGTGTCATTGTGTGACTGTCAGTACTGTTTTTGAGACACTTTCATCACCCCAAACAAACTCTGCACCTATGTTAGTAGTTTTCTCATTGCTGTAACACACACAAGCAACACCAAGGAGGAGAGAGAGATTTTGGCTCACAGTTTTGGAGTGCTCATCATCTCTGCCTTCGTTGTTTCTGGGCTTGTAGAAAGGCAGAACACCATGACAACAGGAGCAGGTACAGAGGTTGCTTACCTCATGGCAGACAGGAAGCAGAGAGACAGGAAGGGGCCAGAGCAAGATACCCCCAAACACCTGCTCCCAATGGCCTGCTTCCTCCAGCTAGTCCAAACTCAAGGAATGGACTCAGAGACACGTGGAGACAGTGGAAACCTGGTGACCTTGCAAGAATGGGTGCCTGGTGAGCAGACACACCCAAAGCGGTGTAAGTCTGCAGTGCACAAGTCCCTCCCCTGGTTCCTCATTGGCTAAGTACTATAGGATGTACATTTCTACCCACCCCCCATTGGTTTATTTTTAAATATGCCTCTTGGGATTGGTCAAATTTTAGAAGTGGGCTGTAAGTGGTGTCCACCTCCCTTTGAGGTGGGAAGGTCTCCCTGTGACAAGTGCTTTCTGGCATGTACAGTTTTTAAGCATTTTCTCATTCTATCCTGATTTACCCCTCCCAGTTTAAGTTCCTTTATCAGTTGCCCCTCCCCCAACATCTGCAAGCAAGCGTCCAGGGTTAAATGCCTTGCCTTGAAAATGGACCACCACTGACTCTTTTTAACAGGTCCAACTTCCTAAAGTTTCCAGAACCTTGAAAATAGTAACACTGGCTGGGGACCTAAGCTTTAACACATAACCCTCTGGGGTATTTCCTTTTCAAACCATAACCCTACCCATTAAAAAACAGCATCCCCTCTCTTCCCTCCTCCAACCCCTAATAACCTTAAACCTAATTCTGTCTCATAAATGTGCCTTTTCTACAAGTTTCATATAAGGGGACTCATCTACATTTGTCCTCTTAGCATAATGTCTTCGAGGTCCAATTCTTATGGTTGCGACACGTGTCCCTACTTCATTCCTTTCTAGGACCAAACACCATTCCATTTAATGTATTATCTGCATTTTGCCCCTTTTTGCAAAGGCTAAAATAAGTTTCCTGCCCCCTTTCCTCCCCATGATTGTTTTTGTTCAGGGCCTGGGAAATAGCTCTTTGAAATGTAAATAAAAGGAAGACAGTGTCCCTACCCCCTCCTGTCCCGTGGGAGTTCAGCCTGGGCTCTTTGTTCCAAACTGTAACCACCTGCTCATAAAGATTTCAGTTTTATTATTCCTTGAGGCAAAGGCAATTGGCCAGAACAGTGGGTACCCTGGTTATCAGGCCAGTTTAGAATGAAGTGGAAAAAAATGTATCAACAAGGCAGCAGCAGTCAGGTTCTCCACTCCAGGACAAGTTACCATGATTTTTTTTTTTTCTTTTTTAGCAGCACTGGGATATGAACTCAGGGCCTCATGCTTGCTAGTCAGGTGTCCTCAGCCTCACCGTGAATTTTGAAGTTGGTATATAAGGTAGTGCATGCTGCATAGAAGGTCTGGGGTTGCTCTCTGCTTTTTCATCACAGTTCCCGTGATGTGCACACACTCTGACTTAATGTGCATTCCATAATAAAACTGCCTTTCTCCAGCTACAGAGGGGGATTTCCTGAATTGGCAGGCAATTGTTTTCTTCCAACAGTATCTTCATCATCTTTGATCAGAAGACAAGAAAGAAGCCTGGCCAGATGCAGCTGTGGGGGGCTGGCTGCCCCCTTCCAACTGTTTGAAAACTGTTAATCCAGATTCAGACACCATCGAAGCTTATTTGCATCTTCTCAGGGTCAGGACCAAGGCTGGGGGAGCAGTAAGGTGCCACCATAGGGACAGGATAGAGGCTGAGGATACAAAGAGAGAAGGTGATGGATTTGAGGAGCAAGAAGTATGGTCTTTGGAGGCCTTGCTTTGCCAATCTGGGCCCAAGGCAGAGGCTCCCTGTGCCTCTCACAAACAGACGGTTCTCTTCTACCATTGCTGGGTCTGGAGTGAAGCCCCCCATCTCACCCTGAAAAAGCCTTCACACTTGGCCTTTCAACTCAGGTGTCTGGGGGAGGAGCCGGGTGTGGTGTGTGCAGATGGAACAGCCAAAGAGGCTGGAGTGGGGTGCTGTGTGTTTGTTCACACTCTCCCCGCCCCAACCTGGCACTGTTGCCAAGGCTGGAGCTAAAAGACCTTGGCCTGTCCTAGCTCTGCTGCGGAGCAGACTTGTGATCCTAGCCCAGAGTGGCCCAAAGCAGGTGGCATGCCCATGGGGGGGCCCTCTCCCAAACTTTCACAGTAACCCACTTTTATCTAGCACTTTCTCTGCGTCTGGCACAGCTCTACAAATTTCACTCAAATCTCAATCCTCCAAACAGCTCCAGAAGGCAGGCATTATTGTTACTCCATTTTACAGATGAAGAAACTGGACCTCATACGGGTTATGTAACACACTGTAGTCCAATAGCTGGTTAGATATCTGTAGTCTACAGATAATTATTGAGAATCTGCCATATGCAGGACCTGTGCCAAGTAAGTAGGCAGCCAGAGGTGGCTCTGGTAGGGTCCTGGCTTCAGAGCAAAAGGGGAAGAGACTCATCGAATAAATGGCTATAAATGAAGGAAATTAATTACCCAACTGAAAAATGCTGGAACTGGGTGTGGTGGTGCATATCTATAATCCCAGCTACTCAGGCAGCTAAGGCAGGAGAATCTCAAGTTCAAGGCCAGCCTGGGCTCAAGCTTGGTTAGCAAGATTTTGTCTCAAACACAAAATAACAACATAAGGATTAGGGGTGTGATTCAAGTAGTACAGCACTTGCCAACAAATGCAAGACCTTGGGTTTAATCCCTAATACTGCTATATATACGTATATATACATATATACGTATATACGTATATATACATATATACGTATATATGTATATATACTGAAACAGAGCACATGCTGGTCCTGGGGTGAAAAAAAGAGAGTCTGCACTCTGCAGAGAAGTTAAGCCGAGCCCTGGAGGAGAGAGGGCTGGCAGGAAGTGCATTTCAAGCAGCAAGAGAAGGACACATGAGAAGGCCAGAAGTGGGAGGAAACAGAAGACCAGCTTATCTGGGAACAAGCATGGCTAGGGAAGGAGAGAATGGCAAGGAGAGGTGGAATTTGTCCCTTTGCAACAATGTTAGGGATTTCAGATTTATTTCTAAGGGCAATAGGGAGCCATGGACAGCTGAACACCACCCATTGAGAATAATTTTATAGTTCAACTCTCAGGGTGTCCTGATTTCCAAGTTGGGGAGACTTTACTACAGCCTCTTGTATACTGGTAGATCTTCAAATCCTCATTGGAATTCCAGCTCTTGGGGCACAAGAACTCCATTTTTCTTATCTCTGTTTCCCTATAGAACAATGCATGGCATTGAATTGAACTGAGTTTAAAAACAAAAAAACAAGTAAATTCAAATATTGGAGATACCCACCCACACCTGATGGAAACTTTAAAGGTTCAAACTCAGGTTTTTGACCCTCATGGCTTTGGATCAGTGCTCCCATCTTTATCTGATCTGTAGAATAGATATAAATATGGCACCTATTGTGTGTGTAGGGGGGAATATGCCTCCCCAAATAGGATTACTGAATCGAGAATAATTAAGAAATGGATACAGGACAGCTCCCCATCATCCATTGTCTTAAAGCGGGACACAGACTTGGGAGCTATTACCTCTCTCCATACCATCACCGAGGACTCCAGTGAAGACCCCTGAAAAGCAAGTAGAGTGGCTGGCTTAGCATCCACTGGGGAAAACTGTTTATTTCAGCATGCGGCCAAGGTCGTGGGCAAACATTAGTTAATTTTTTTTAAACGATGCTGCTTTTGCCTTGACCAGAGTAGTCATTTCCTCCCCTTCTAGCCCACTGGACCGAGGGGGCGTGGTCACCTATGGGCGGGGCCATGTTTTGGCCACGCCCACCGACGCGGGGTGGGCGGGGTGAAGCAAAGCTCCCCGGCGCGCGCACGCGCGCGCGTCGGCCCCAGGTACGCGGACAAGATGGCGGCGGCAGCGGTCGACAGCGCGATGGAGGTGGTGCCCGCGCTGGCGGAGGAGGCCGCGCCCGACGCGGCGGGCCTCAGCTGTTTGGTCAGCCTGCCCGGAGAGGTGCTGGAGTACATCTTGTGCAGCGGCTCGCTGACCGCCCTCGACATCGGCCGCGTGTCCAGCACCTGCCGGCGGCTGCGCGAGGTGTGCCAGAGCAGCGGGAAGGTGTGGAAAGAGCAGTTCCGGGTGAGGTGAGCAGCGGCCCCCGCGGTCCCTGCGCTCCCTGCGCGCCCTGCGCTGCGACCCCCACCCCATCTCACCCCACGCCACCCCCCCCACTCGGTCCGGCCCGGTCCAGTCCCCTGGCCCCCTGATGCGCGGACCCCACCCGGACCCTTCCCGCGGCCGGCAAGACAAAGGCCCGAGGCCGGCGGCCCGGCCCCGCCGTGCCCACCCCGGGGGGCGCAGATGGCGCATCGCGGGCGCCCAGCGGCCGAGCCCCACGGCGGGGGCCTGGCGCGCGCCCTCGCGCTCTGCGCTCCGGCGTTCGCGCGGCTCCGGCGGGTGGGCTGTGCACTGCACAGATTCCATGCCGAGGAGCCCGGCATCCCAGCATCCCATCTGGCCCTGCGTTACTCCCGCCGTGACCTTGGTGGGGGGTGCGGGTCGGAGGTAGGGGGTGTAGGAGGAGGCAGCTTCTCTTTCTTAAGCCTCATTGATCCACTTGGATCAGTGGTGACAATTTAGACCCACCTTTTGCCGTGGTCATTAAGTGAGATGATGTAGGAAAGGCAGGCACGCACACGGGGCCGGGTTCTGAGGAGGCGCGCGCCACGGATGCGAACTGTTATTGTCATCGCGATTAAGGATTGTGGCCACCACCGTCCTCCTCTTAGAGATGGAGTGGGAGGGGGGAATGGAGACAGCCATGCCAAGGTCACACCATGGGAGTGAGTGAGTGCATGCTGGATGGAGATTTGAACTAGGTCCACAGCCAGGGTCCCCTCTTTCCACCAGCCTTGTTTTGCAGGGCTGCCCTTGAGTGTCAGCTAAGCCCACGGGATTGTTTCTCTCCTTGTAGGTGGCCGTCCCTTATGAAACACTACAGCCCCACCGACTACGTCAATTGGTTGGAGGAATATAAGGTCCGGCAGAAAGCTGGGTTAGAAGCCCGGAAGATCGTAGCTTCGTTCTCCAAGAGGTTCTTTTCAGAGCACGTAAGGATTTATTGCGGTAGCTGCTTGCTCTTCCGTTTTGCCTGGCAGTGGCAGTGGCGTGTGTGTCTGGGGCTGTAGGCATTAGCTCATCCAGGTCTTGTTGCTGGCTCCCTTTTCAGGGCTGCACAATCCCTTACTCACTTACATGGCTGCAAGCGTCATTTTGTCCTTCCCTCCCATCCAACAACACGAAGCCATTTGTCCCTGCCAGCTTTACTTTTCTAAAGCCAGAGAGAATGGGGGTGGAGGGAGTAGGGGGGGGCCCCACATAGCACAATGTGCAGTGAATCCACAGAGAAGCATTTATTTCTCCTTAAGTAGGTTAGACATATTTTTTGCAGCCTTCACATGATTTGGGGGAATCATCAATAACTGAACTCTCTAAATTTCTCCCAGTTGTTTTTCCAGAAGGGTTGGCGGAGTTAATGTGATTCAGATCTCTGGTCTTGCACCTTCTGCCCAGTAGTGGACTGTGTTATTTGTTAAGGTAACAGAGGATTCAAAGCTATCTGTAATCCCTCAAACTTGCCTTCTACTACTTACCCCTGAAAGTTGGGGTTTGGTGGGGAGGTTTTTTGTCTCTTTGGTTTTGGTTTTTTGTTTTGGGATTTTGTTTGGTTTGTTTTCGTTTTTTTGAGGCTGGTCTTGAACTAGTGATTCTTCTGCTTCAGCCTCCCAAATGCTGAGATTACACATGTGGGCAACCACACCCAGCTAAGGTTTTCCTTTCTGTTTTTAATATTGATGAAATTCATAGTCCACTCTAATATCTTTAATTCATTAAACTATTAGTTTTTGTTTCTGATTGCAGATCTGCAAATAGAGCTCATCTTATTTTACTATTCTGGTTTCTTAAAGCTTATTTATTGAAGCTTTCTGATTTACTTCTGATTTTTCTAATTTTTGACTACTTTTCATGAAGTTTATAAATTTAAAATGTTTTCAGGGCATTTCAAGTTTTAAAAGGGAAAATGTGGACTTTGGACAAATTTGAACTTACTTTCCTATGAGGAATTCCTTCAATAGCTATTCCCTAAATGTAATCATTTATATAAATGTTTATTATGTTAGGATGGATGGACAGAATTGTTCTGCCATCAGAAACTATGCTGTAGGTAGTTTATAACCACAAATGGTATACACTGGTTTAAAAGTTTGCACACACACATATTTTGTGCTAGGCGTCTTTCATGCCTTGGTCATGGACACTGGTTTGCAACCTCGGCTCCTAGTCCATCTGGGTTTGTGCACATTTTTAAATAAGAGTCTGTGCTTTTATCTAATAATGGTGGGTTGTTGTGCTTTTTCCCCTCAGTTTTCCCTGTAGCACTGCTTAAGTAGAAGTATGTCAGGGACTTTGACCACAGCAGGAGTGCACTTGGGATTGATCTATGGGTGGGTGATTACTTTGGCCCAAGAGCCGTGTGTTCCTGTGTTCTGAGGATGCACACAGGTTAACCTGAAACACTGACTACTTTCAAAACGAACACTGGTGAAAGTCATAACTTAAACTGAGAGGATCTCAAAGGTCACTATACCACCTCCTCCAGGTCCAGAAAATACGCACCGGCAGGTTAAAGGAGCACCTCTCACACCAGGCTGTGCCTCTGGCTCTCAGGTTGTTTCTACCTAGACTGCTCACAGTGTTCCTGTGGATTAGATACTTGTGGTTCTCATCTTAGTTTGAGAGCCATTTTCTTCATAGAGTTCTGAATTACCAGTTTCAGAAGTCCCAGTGTATGAGAACATAGTTGATTTACAAGTAACCAGGAGCACTGAACAGATCCTGCTACTCTATCTTGTCACTGTCCAGGGAATCAAGCTTCTTGGCTTGCCACACTGATTTGTTTATGACTGACAGCGTCATTAGTAGTATTACTTGAGGCCTACTTTTGTGTGTTTTCATAGGTTCCTTGTAACGGCTTCAGTGACATTGAAAACCTTGAGGGACCAGAGATATTTTTTGAGGATGAACTGGTATGCATCTTAAATATGGAAGGAAGGTAAGATGTAGATTTCTTGGGGATTTTTGTTTTTGAAAAGTGGTAAAAGTGATAACCTGAGAATAAATGGCTATATGTATGTGCCTGAACCCTAGACTGTGTTTTCAAATAATTGATGTCTTGCCATAGTCATGACTTTGCAAACTCTGACTGTGAGGTTAATATGCCAAGACAGTTAGTATGTGTACAGTCTACCATCTGTAGCCATGAGTTCCACATCCATGGCTTCAACCAACTTTGAATCAAAAGCAGACAGACTCCTTTTCCTAGTCATTGTTCCCCAGACAATTTTACATTTACATAGTGTTTATTCTGTAAGTATTATTACCAGAATAATACTATATGAGCATAGTGAGTATCATGAGTGGTCTAGAGGTGATCTAAAGTGTCTGTGAGGGTTCTGTGAATGCTGTGCCATTCACATAAGGGACTTGAGTGTCTGTAGATTTTGGTACCCAAGCATGGGGGGCTCCTTGAACCAATTCCTCTTGGATACTGAGGGATGACTGTATAAAGAAAGCTTGCAGAAATCCTTCTGGAAAGCACAGTGCACTGTGCACTCATGTCTGTTAACGTCTTTATCCTTCCTTCATTGTCACTTCTCTGCCTACCTCTACTAAATTTGATTGTCATGAATTAAATCTTTTTGTTTTAATTACTTGTTAGAGGGCTGGAGATGTGGCATAAGCAGTAGAGCCTACCTAGCAAGCACAAAGCCCTGAGTTCAAGCCCTGGAGTATAAACCTCAGTACTGCCCTCCCCCCAAAAGAAAAGCCTCTTAGAACCATGTACAGTGGTTCATACCTGTAATCCTAGCTACTCAGGAAGCTGAGATCAGAAGGGCTGAGGTTTAAGGCCATTCTAGGCAAAAAAGTTAATGAGACCCCATATGAACAGAAAAGGCAGGGCGCTATTGCACACCTGCCATCCCAGCTAGGAGGGAAGCAGTAGGAGAATCGTGGTTCAGATCAGCATGGGCAAAAAGTGAGGCCCCCATCTCCAAAATAAGCAGAGCTGGGAGCAGGGCTCAAGCAGTAGAGCACCTGCCTAACAAGGGTGAAACCCTGAGTTCAAACACTCAGTACTGGAAAACAGTATCTTTGCCATGTCTTAGTTTTGTGGAAGTTTTTTTGTTTTTTTTTCTTTTATGATTACTGAGTTCTGGTGGGAAAATAGTCTTACCTTGATCTTCCACACTGTAGCTCTTTGTAGCCTTGTCTCCTGTACTTAGACTGTTACTCAGTTATTCTCCTTGTCTCCTGAGGTTGTTTACAATGGTTTCTACTTTGTGTTTTCTGCTGTGAAGGTCACTTTCCAGTTTATGTGGAAGATGACTTGGCTTTCAGCCTAACTTGCCTATGGAAAAGATTTTCTGTTCTAAAAGTTGAGGTAACTTGCCTAGTGATAGGTGAAAAGCTCATCTACTGTCCTCCTTAAGAGAAGTCATTGCAAGTGATCTCCCAACTAAGGCATCGTGTGTAAGGGATTTAAGAGGTCAGTCTCCCACTGGACAACTGAAGAGAGGCAAGATGTGTCCCTGTTCCGGGCCTCAGGAGCTCCGATGCAGAGGTCATTTTCCTGTTTCTATTTTGGTTTACCTATAAATGAATTGAAGTATGATCTGGAAGACGGTGCAGCCTTAAAAGTAAAAGCTGCCTTGCGGTTTTGATACACGAACATGTACACTTTTAGACACAGATGTAGTCTCATACATACTGTATTGGCTGCTTTGATTGGATGTGTATGCAGACTGTTTGTTCTTATTTACACTGTTCCTCCTTCCAGATTGGCCTTCTGCCTCCACCCTGTTCTTAACAATTACTTATGTTGTATTCTTCCACACTGATAGACAGTGACATGTACGGGAAGGGAAAGAGACCATAATTTCACAAAATTGTGATCATAGAATACTTACTTTTCTGTAGCTTTTTCCCTCACCTAACATGACCTTAGGGGAGTCTATCCTGTCAGCTGGTAAAAGATAAAATTCGTTTTTGTTATGAGTCCCTGTTCTTTTGAAGGATATAATAGTCTATTTAACCATTCCCCTATTGCTGGGCAACCTCTCTCTTCCATCTTGTGTCACAGTGAAGAGTACTGTCTCTACTGGCTTCACTCCCAAGCGGGAAGGGGTATTAGTTAGAGCACTGTAGAGTGTCGTTGGAGAATATGAAATACTCTTGACATGATGAAGACTTACCATCACCAAATGTTAGTTGTCAGACTAATGTGTAATGTAGTGCCGTTCCAAATGCGATCCAAGTAAGGTTTTGGTAGGGCCAGTTTTTATTTAGTTTAGTTTTTTTTTTTTTTTCCTTTTTCTTTTTTAGTGAATAATATAGTTATAAAATGTGTATGGAAGAGTAAACTCACAAGATGAGCCAGAAAGAAATATTTAAGTGATCATAATGGGAACTTACTCTGCAATTACTCGTCATCTGCACGATGCAGGTACACAGAGATAGATATCGTATGGTTTCCCTAGCAAAGGACAATTCAGAAACGTCCCAGAATGCAAGATAATGTTTATAAACTCTGGGGAAAAGGTGGATTGTTTAATAAATGGTATTGTGTGTAACTGAATATCCATCAGGAAGACAGTAAAACCTACACTGTTTACAAAATTACATTCCACAAGATTTTTCAACAACTGAACTTTTAAAATGATGACAGTGAAGACCCCACAAGGAAATAGACTTCTAGGGAGGCCTCTGAGACCAAGACGATGATACAGAAGCAGTGGAGGGACACAGACCCAGTGCTGTAACGAAAAGTAAGCTTCTGCCATACACAGTAGCTCGTGCCTGTAATCCTAGCTACATGGGTGGCAGAGATCAGGAGGATCACAACCAGCTGCAGGCAGATAGCTCAAGACACCCTATCTTGAAAATACCCAACACAGAACAGGACTGGCGGCGTGGCTTGGGTGGTAGAGTGTCTACCTAGCAAGCAGGAGATCCTGAGTTCAAACCCCAGGACTACCCCCAAAAAAGGGAAAAAACTTCTGTGTGAGCAAACAAGCCATGGACAGGCCAGTCCAACTCAGGGATTTCCAAAGAGAAACAGCAAGATGCACAAAGAACGAACAGGTTACCCCTTGGCCTAAGATAGGAGTATTTTTAAATGACAGGAATACTGCACATCTGAACTGTTTTGGGATGCCAGTGTTTGTGGAGGACCCTGTTTGAACTTTTCCTGGCAAATGCTTTTTTAGTTATGGAAAGCACTGGGAGAGGAGGGGTAGTCTGCACTCATGGTGCCCTGTGTGGACTTTTTTGGTTTTTTTTTTTTAATTTTTTTTTTTATTATTCATATATGCATACAATGCTTGGGTCATTTCTCCCCCCTGCCCCCACCCTCTCCCTTACCCTGTGTAGACTTTGAAAAGAGAACATCCTGCGATCATAATGGGTTTGGAGAGGTTTTTGTTTGTTCAGTTATTTTTTTTTTGAGACAGGATCTCGCATAGGGAATGTGATCCTCCTTCCTCAGCCTCCCAGGTGCTGGGTGGTTAAAGGCATGAACCACCCTCGAAACAATGCATTAAAAGAACACACACTATCCCTAAGAAAGTGACCTGGAGTAACCAATACTGAGACGTATTTTAGTAAAATTACTGGATTTTAAAAGCAGGAAAGTCCTGTGGGCATCCAAGCAGGAACATATCATCAGACTTTCAACAGCAATGCTTTATACTGGAGAAGAAAAGATACTGAAACACAGAAAGAAAATGTCAGCCAAGGACTTTTATATCCAGCCAAACAGACTTCTAAATAGAAAGACCAGAGACAAATTGACCAACCTGGGTCTTCTCAACAGACTTTTGGGCCCATTCTGACAAATTTGCTAGAAAGTGAGTTTCAAACACTCGAAACACCAGAGATGCACTAAAATCAGACTGGTGGTGAGTGTAGAATGACTTGTAGAACTAAGGCCAAACGGGGGTTGAAAGGGGGAGAGCACTCCATGTGTGAGTAGGCATGAGCCCTCATGGTAGATTCCATGCGACTAACACAAGCAGATCCTCAGCTGTTTTTCACTCATCCTGGAGGTGAGGAAACAGTTGGTCTCGAGGTGCTCATGAGAGAGGTGGGCAGCAGAGAAGAGCAAGACAGAAATGTCCGTGTGAGCTCACGAGGTACTGTATGTTTATATTACATGTGTGCGAGTGGGTAGTCTAGACTGACCTAGGACAGAAATCCTCCAGCTTAAGCCTCTCAAGTGCTGGGATTACAGTGTGTGACACCATGCCTGGCTCTTTTTTGTGTGTGGGGGAGTGGTGCTGGTGCTGAGCATCAAACCCAGGGCCTTCCACCTGTGAAGCAACTGCTTTCCTTGCCGCCCACTTAGCGCCTCTTAATGGAAGACCACACCACCTCCTGGGAAGGCATCTTGAGAAATAAATGGCTTCTGACTTCGATCATTCTCTACATTCAGTTTCCAAAAAGACATTCAGAAGACCACGTTTTAAACACCACATGGGCGTGACCAGCAAATTCCAGACTGGGAATCCAGCCGGTTTCTTCAGCAAATAAAAATGAAGGCGGAATAGATGGAGTGCCTTTAGATTAAGAGAGTTTGAAGACTTCAAGTCAGACTGGAATGTGCAAGGATGCATGTTTGGTGGCTGTACATGGAGCAAGGGCAGGCTAGAGGACAGAGGTGTGGATGTGATTGTTGTTCAGGGGAGCGAGAGCAGGGCTCACTGGGTGTCTACAGAGTTCTGGTTCTTGGCCTCAGGGTTTAATTCAAGTCCATCATTAGACCGCCCACTTGTTCCTGGTGATTTTTCTAGATTGGTACACTTCACAACTCGAAGGTTAAAGAGCAGACAGAGGTCACTGGACCTCCCTGAAGATGGGCCAGTGCTGTGTTTCCTCCATCCTGCAGGCAGCCAGATCCTGGCTGTCTCCCACCTCCTATGGTCATTCACTCAGCAAGTTTTCTTGAACATCTGCTGTGTGTCAGGCTCTGATTTAAGGACTGGGAACACAGAAGTGAACAGTATCCCCAAACCCTGCCTTCCTGGAGCTTACAGTGCATTGGGGAAGACAGGCACTTGAAAACAAACAAACAAAACAAAATGTATTACATTAGAAAATGGAAACTGCCATGGAGAAATATTGAGGCGGGAAGAAAGTAGGTGTGGAGGTGAGGGGTGCTGTTTGAAACATAGGGGAGGAGGCCTTAGCAGAGGATGTCTGAATGAAGCCTGAGAGGAAGTGAGAGCGGCCAGAAGGAGCAGCACACTGGGTGAGCAAGGCCAGGCACAGTAGCTGGCGCTGGGCTGGGCGGGGGATGGGGAGGGTCAGGGAAATTGAGATCAAGAGAGGTGATGGGGTGAGGGTCAAAGGGACCTTTTAGGTCCTCACTAAGAGTTGGGCTTTTACCATGAGCAAAGTGAAAAGCACTGGAGAGTTTGGGGGTGATGACTATGGTGAGGCAACTGGGTGCTTAACTGGAGCACTGTGACTGCCAGGTGAGGAGAGGTTCAGAGCGAGGCCAGTCAGGAGCGTGCTGCTGTATCCAGCAAAGGTTGATGTTGGCTGGGATGTGCTAGAGAAATGTGTTTACATATGGGTGGACATGGGGCAACCATAGAGCTGGCCACTTGAGCACAGGATGGCCAGGAGGCTTTGACCTCACTGGAGGCATGGAGCAGGCTACACCTGAGATAGGTAACATGGGGAACAAGGTTTCAGATGCTCCCAGCTGTCAGGTGGGGTGTGGAGTACCAGTTAGCTAGCTAGGTCTGAGACCTGGGGAACACTGTTCTGGAAAGTAAGTGTGGGGAGCATCTGAAACCCCAAGGTGGGAAGAAGCTGCTGTGGCCACCAGTGTAGAAGGGTAGGGCATCCTGAGGGTTTTGAGGCAGCCTGAGGACCAGCACCACAGCATAAAGTCCCTGTCTCCTGAAACGCCCCAGCTCAGCTCACTTCCCCAGCTGCTCTGTCATGCCCTCATCACAGACACAAGACACATCTGAAACTTGCGTATCTGTTCCACAAATTTCAGTTCAAGCAACTGATCGTTGAGTGACAGGTGCATAGTCCTGCTGGGCTGGCTGCTTCCGTCATCCTGGGAATGACAAGATTGTGAACCAGTTCTGGTTTTCCTGTTGAAGTAGACTGCATGAGGTGGCTGATGTGAAGTCAGAATGAGGCAACTGAAAGTTTTAAAATGTTCATTTTTTTATTGACTTGTTATTTTCCAGAAAAGCTTTAACTTGGAAATACTACGCCAAAAAAATTCTTTACTACCTGCGGCAACAGAAAATTTTGAATAATCTCAAGGCTTTTCTTCAGCAGCCTGATGACTACGAGTCCTATCTGGAAGGTGGGTCTCTCCATACAGAGCTTAGCCAGCAACTGTGGGAACTGCCCCTGGGGTAGAGGGAAACAGAAACCACCCTGCAGGGGCTTATGGAGGTCAGATTGTGTTCTGACCAGTGAGGGCAGCACTGAAGTTTAGAGCTAGGGTTTTGTTAACGTCTTTAGCTGTCAGCTAAAGAGATGGTGTTTTCTGAAGATGCACCTTTGGTTCAGAGTGTGAGAGTGACGTCTCACCTAATGACATGCACACCTTGCTTTGCTAAGCTTCAAAGTATTGTTTCCACATCAGAGAGAAATGGGTCCATTTTTGTCTCTAACCTCAAGCACGTTCCTCAACTTGTGGTTGGAGTTTAGTGAGGACAGAATGTTCTAGCACATCAGTGTCTGCTGGTCCATGATGATAAGTGAGGAGAAAGGGTCAGGTGGGCAGGCACGATGAAGGGAATGACCTCGTGTTCTTACCAAGTTGAACAGGAACAAAATGTGACTTGAATTTTTTAACTACTTTAATTCCTAGAGTATTACACAAACACTCCCATAAATTACAGTTAGGAATCCATGCTCATTTGCTTCCCTGCCCCTGGTGACTTTTTTCCTTTCCAGTGTTCTCCTAGTTGTGTCCCCACTCTGTTAATGTCCTCATGCAGGCTGTCACCAGCTGGCACAACACTGCCTCCTGCCCTGGAGTCAGCCAGTACACCCAGCCCAAACCCACTGTTCACCACTGCGGTGAAGCCTGTGGTGTGGACGCTGACTGCTGTTTCCAGTCTCTGCCTGCTCTGCAGTGCTCTCCCTAACTCCACCTTCCCTGTCACTCTGCACAGTGTCCCTGTTGCTCAAGCCAGGGATCCTCCAGAGACACTTGGCTGTGCTTCCTCACTGATGACACCCCGCTTCCTGGTAATTCCCTCTTGAACATTTTGCTCACCCTACCCAGCTTGGATCAGTGATCACTGACTCTGGGTTCCCACTGTGGACTCGCTCAGAGTCACTGCAGGAGCATGTGACAGTCACCTGTCTCTCATTTTCTGTTTCAGATGTATGCACCTTGTTTTGATTTTTTTTTTTTTTTTTTTTTGAGACAGCTCTTGGCTGGCCTTGAACTTGTGGTTCTCCTGCCTCTGCATCCCGGCTGCTGGGATACAGATGTTTACCACCATGCTCAGCCCTTACATTGAGTTTCTTTAAGGTTTCTTAGTAACTAGTTTCTTATGTTCAGAGGCCTTGAGTTAAGATCTCTGTGTACCCCACAGTGTCCACTGTAGATTGTTGGTAATTATAGAAAGTCTAGTGTTACCCAAAAGGAAGTGAAGAATCTGCTGTAGTTGATCAGAATAAAAGACCCTCATCACCTTGGAATCCTCTCCTACCACGTACTGCAGTTGGGAGTTACCCTGTCTGGTTTATTTCACAGTTCAGAATGGTTAACAGTCTTTACTTCTGTAGCTTGGTTTTAAGATGACCTGAAGGCAACCTGGTCTCAGATTAAAAGATTGCCTAAGGCTTTAAGGAGGCATCGTGTCTTCGTTGTGCTCTGTACGGCTTTTTGGCAGCAGGTTCCCTGACGTGGCTGTTTACCTAATTTGAAAGTGGAGTTATCTCCAAATCCTTTACTCTCCATCCTCAAGATGTGTAGCTTGTTGAAGTGACTCATCTGTCATTGGGAACTTACAACTTATTTTTTAACAGAGGAGCTGCCTTCCACTGTTAGGTTTTCTATCTTATACTGTAAGAGTTGGAGAGAGAAATAGCTTGAATAGATCTCCTTTACACAGTTGATTTCTCTTTGTGATAGAATGGGAATGTGCCACACATCATGGGTTTTTGAGTCTGACCCACGAAAGAAGTTTGGTTTTAAAAAAAAGGTGCATCTGGAGCAGCTTTGTTGAAATGTGTGTTCCTCCCCAGTGTGTCATCTGCAGGCCTGGTGTCCCAGGTGGAATGCTTTTCTGCTGGGTTGTTATAACAAGCATGGCTCCTGGGTGGTGGGGCCAGCAGCTCACTAGTACGAGGGGAGAACTGAGCTGATTTCAGGTCCTCATTCATCCAGGTGCCGTCTTCATTGACCAGTACTGCAACCCCCTCTCCGACATCAGCCTCAAGGACATCCAAGCCCACATCAGCAGCATCGTGGAGCTCGTCTGCAAAACGCTCCGTGGTGTGAACAGCCGCCACCCCAGCTTGGCCTTCAAGGCAGGTGTGGAATTGCTTTGCTCCAGCTGTGCAGTCCCACTGTGTGACAAAAAAGTGATAAGTGACACAAAGTTGCAGTTACCTGGGTAGTGTCAACAACTTTGAATACAGCCTGTCTTCCATGCCCTAGACTGGCAGCATTGGATCTTCAAGCCATTGCTGATCTCTTGTGTTGTGGGTGGCCTGGGACTCCAGTCATGACTGTTCTCGGGCTTGTGTCCCAGAGTAGATGTCTGTGTTTCAGGTGAATCCTCCATGATCATGGAAATAGAACTCCAGAGCCAGGTGCTGGATGCCATGAACTACGTCCTTTATGAGCAGCTGAAGTTCAAGGGGAACCGAATGGATTACTATAATGCCCTAAACTTATATATGCACCAGGTAAGTGTGGACGTATTCTTAAAAGAGAAAAGAACTTCCATAGTTGTGGATTCCCTGCATCCATATACAACTGAAGAACAAAAGCATTTCGAAAAGCTAATTTCTGTGTTTATAGTGGATGTGTGCCATCTTGTCCTTATTTCCTAGGTAACCTAACGACTAGTTACATCCTACTTATGCAGCACAGGTATTCCAGGTAGTCTAGATGTGATTCAGGTATTCAGGAGGGTGTGCAGGTTACATGCAAATCCTACACCATTTTTGACAAGGGGCTTGAGCATCTGCACACTTTGGTACCCACAGGTTCCTTGACCAGTTCCCCATAGATGTCAAAGGACTGTGCATGCGTGTGCAGGCACACATTTTGAGCTCATCTCTGATGAACTGTCCATTTCTTGCTGACATGTGCTGTGTCTTTTCCACTCTGGATGTCCAGTAAACCCATTTTTCTCTACCACGACGGTATTGCTGTGGGTTCTATCTGTTTTATCATGGAATGTTCTTTGTGTGCAAATGCTTCTTAATAGATGGAGGTATTTCTCTGACTGTGGTCAATCTGTTTTATGAATTCTGAGGTGCAAACCTAATCAGGACTCGTCAGTGCTGACCTCCGACAGGGCTGGCAGAAGCTGTGCCCAGCTGTGTCAGGTTTGTCTTAGGTGCTTCCTGCCTGCCTTTCTTTTCATATCCATTCAGTTGCTGTGTCTGCTGTTTTGGTTTTATTTTGGCATATCTCACATGTTTTCCTTTGAAATGGTTTTAAGTTATTTTTGGAAGAAGGAGGGCCAAAATAAGGGGTCAGCATACTTTTTTTCTAAAGGGCCAGGCAGTAAATTATTTCAGCCGTGTAGGCTGCACGGTCTCTATCTTAACTCCTCAGCCTGCTCTTACGATGTGAGAGGCACAAATAGTACGTAAACAAACGGGTGAGGCTGTGAACATTGCGATTTGAGTTGCATATTGTTTTTATATCACAATATAGTATTCTTTTGATTGCTTTTTCAAACATTAAAAAAATGAAAAATTCACTGGTGTATATGCCTGTAATCCCAGCACTTAGGAGGCCGAGGCAGGAGGATCAAAAGTTGCAGGCCAGCCTGGCTACCTGGGGAGACCCTGTCTCAAACAAAGAAAAAATAAAAACTTTTTATGCTGGCTGTACAGAAATAGCTGGTAGACTGACTTCAGCCTGTGGGCCATAGTTTGCTGAATAGATAAACTACTCATCTGCTTAAGACTCAAAGGCCAGCATCACGAGCTAGGGATGTAGCTGGGTGGTAGCATGCTTTCCCAGCACACGAAAGACCTGGGCTTCAGTCCCCAGGACCACAAGAAAACAAAAAATGAAATGCCACATTGTTCCCCATAATGTGTACTGAGTCCGGTAAACAAGATTAAGAAAGAAGGAAACGGGGAGAGGGTTGGAAAGGAGAGATGGGGGCAATATAAATCTAATCTGAATGGTCACTATGAGTCCCCCCCCATAACGAATATATCCTAATAAAAAATTTATAGTTTATTTGTTAAAGGAAAAAGCCAGCCTCGTTCTGGATGTACTGTAGAGGGCTCCTGTGAGTGTTAGGACTGACTGAGAACGGGCGGGGCTTCTCTGAACCTCTGTTTTTGCCCTTCAGGTTTTGATCCGCAGAACAGGCATCCCCATCAGCATGTCTCTTGTTTATCTGACGATTGCGCGGCAGTTGGGAGTCCCACTGGAGCCTGTCAACTTCCCGAGCCACTTCTTACTACGGTGGTGCCAAGGTGCAGAAGGGTGAGCCATCTCCGACACATGGGGACCAGTGCCGAGGGGTCAGTCCCCTGTGCTGAGGGGAAGCCTGTGTCCAGTGCTAACTTAGCTGCAACCAAACAGGCAACAGTTGAGCCAGGTGGTGATGGCATTTCTTTTCTGACTATATCGGTGTTGATGTCCTGATTGTGATACTCAACTGTAATTGTGTGAGGTGTTACCATCAGGCAGACTGGGCAAAGGCTACTTTAGGTTTTTCTGTATTTCTTTGCACCTGCATGTGAATCTGCAATTATCTCCAAGTTTCGTTTAAAAAAAAAATGAGGCAAGGACTTCAAGGTCTTGTGGCTCTTATGGTCCCTTTGTTCCAAAGTAGATGAGCTCAGCGTGTTCTTAAATTCTTACTTTCCATTCTTTCGTAAAATCTCCTTCCTCCCACACGTGGGCCTGTGCTTGAGAGCGAGAATGAACGGTTGCAGGATAGGCATACACCCCTTTCGCAGTGTTGGTGATGAGTGAACTTTTTTATTATTTACTATTATCTTTGTGGGGCTGAGGATGGAACCCAGGGCCTTTTGCATGCTAGGCAAGTGCTCTACATCTGAGCTGCATCCAGGCCATTGTGTGTTTTTGTCATTGTTTTTGGTTATAGGGTTTTACTATGTAGTGCAGCACTGACTTAAACTCACTGTCTAGCCCAAACTGGCCTCAAATCTCCATCCTCCTGCCTCAGCCTCTTCCATTGCTGGGTGGTGTGCTTTACCACGCCCCACTGTTCCCTTTTTTTAAACCTAGTGTTTTATCAGGCAAAAGGCTCCTAATCTAGCATTTTGGTAGTTCATTGATTGGGCTTAATATCTTTGCATTAAGTATGCGACTTAGCAGAAAAAGAAGAAAAGCTGGTATCCACTATCCTGTTCTTTGAAACATTAGTTGGTACCCACAGGTGAACTGAAGAACAGTGTGATGGAAAACACCTGAGCTTTGAAGTCAGCTTGGGTCTGAACCTTGACTGAGCCTCAGTGTCTTCCTCTGTTAGATGGGGCAGATGCCTTCCATAACTTGGCTTGGAAGGTTAACAAGAGGAAATGTGGTGCCTCACCCACTTGGGAAGGTCTGTGATGCTGTACAGGAACAAGCAGTACAGTTGGCCTATGGACTTACCTCCCAATTGCAGGAGGAAAAACTGGGCACTGCTCCTCATCCCTCTCCTCCCCAGAGGGAAGCCCTGTTAGTTTGAAAGTGTTTATCCATGTGGATTTGTTAGTTCATTACATATGTGTGTTTCCTTGAAGAACTGTCTATGCTTTCCCTGTTTTCCAAATATGTGTTCCTAAAAGTGTGCCGGGCAGTTGACTTCTAGGTACTAGGACCTACTTCCATTATTAAATGACGAGAATGAGTGCAGCTCCTTCCCTTTACTCAGATGACCCATCCTGCACCTAAAATATTCCTAAACATTTACGTACTAGTCTGCCGAGGGTTTCTGCATGACACGAAGCACTTACACTGCCGATAACCATGGCACTGCCCACAGTGACTGGTTCCGTGTGAGCTTATGTATCACTTTCCCTTCTTGAGCTGCAGTGAACATATACCCTGTGGTACAGATCACATCACCAGGCAGCCGTTGGCCCAGCTGCTCAGGACACTGAGTAGGATGATCACTTGCGCCTAGGAGTTTGATATCAGCCTAGGCAACATAGCAACACCTTGTCTTAGGTGAGAAAACTACCACCCAGGCAGGTGGCAGAAACAAACACATACAAAAAAGGACACACACAGCCTCTGTCTAAGGCTGAGTGAGCATGCAGCCCTCATCCGATCCGCAGTGGGCTGCAGCGCTCCCTGTCCTTCCCTGGATTCCTTTCTGCTCCTGCCTGGGGTTCCTCTCTCTGCGCCTGCACCGAGACTACATTGTGTCAGTCACCGTAGCTTTGTAATTCACCCTGATGCCTGGGAGGAGGAGACCCTGCCACTGAGTTCCTCACATTGCCTTGACTCTTATTGCCAGTGCCCTTTCCTACAGACTGAGAATCAGTTTGTCAAGTTCCCTAAAACCCTGCGTGGAAGTTAATTGGAAGGAACCAGGGACTGCTTCTTTCTGCTAGATTCCTAGCCAAAAGTGGGGACATTGCAGATTTCACAGTCAGTCTTTGTGAAGATAGTCCTCATCAGTGTCCTGGAAAGGGTTTACGCTTTTCTTCATCAAGCTGACATCTCCTTAGGTTTATTCTTTGTACCTTAAATTCTCACCATTACTATAAATTGTAACTTTTATATTTTCTCAGTGTTGATGGTCTATAGATACAAGTCAAATATTCAGCACTCTTGCTGAATAAATTGCTTGTATGAGTAACTTGTCAGCTCTTGGCATTTCGGTGTCAGCAGTCATAGTGTCTGCAGTTCTGTTTCTTTTTTCTACCCATATCTTATGCGTTTCTCACCTTGGCTAGGTCCATCTGAACAAAGTTGGAGAAGCCATAGTAGCCAGGCCCCATTGCCTTGGGTGCTACTTTCAGGGCAGTGCTTTCCACATTTCACTGGACATCACTGTACGGTGGGGTTAATCCAAGCACTTGCCACGTTTTAACTTAATGAGAGTAATGTGTTTTATATCTAGTCATTGCTTTTTTTTTTTTCAAAATATTTCTACCATGTGGTCATATGGTTTTTCTCTTCTAGTCTATATGTGCAGGATTTTTTTGGGGGGGGGGTGGGGTGCTAGAGATTGAACCTGAGGCCTTGTATGCCACTAAGCTATACCCCAGCCTTGAAGTAGGGTTTGTTTTTTTTTTTCTTGTGGTACTGGGGTTTGAACTTAGGGCCTCACACTTGCTAGTCAGGTACTCTACCACTTGAGCCACTCTGCCAGCCCTGTTTTGTGTTGGGATTTTTTTGAGATAGGGTCTCAAGAACTGTTTGCTCTGGGCTGCCTTCAAACCATAATCTTCCTGATCTCTGCCTCCTGAGTAGCTAGGATTACAGACATGAGCCATCATAGCAGGACTTGGAAATAGATTTTTTTGATCAACTCTTCCATCACTCTTGGGACACATCTCATTTAATCGTGTATTTTAAACACACATTGCTGAGTTTGATCTGTTCATCTTTCGTCCAGGGTTTTTTGCCTTTATTCTCACAAATGATATTGGCTTATACATTTTCATGGAAGATTTTATCCTCTTAAAAAGAGTTGAAGAGTTCCTTGTTTCTAGAATATTTATGTAAGTCTTATGTCTTCCTGAAAGTGGACCGTAAACACAAGTCAGGGAAGAAATTGACTGGGATGTTTAGCATCCAAAGAGATGATCTGCTGTGTGATTTGTATTAGGCTTAAGATCAAGATGAACCCGTTGCTCCTATGAACACCACTACCTCTGAGACAGTTGCCACCTGAACCCCTGCGTGAGCCCTCACCAAGACGGCTCTTGTCACATGACTGATGCTCAGTGCCTGGTGTGTCTGCCCCAGTGTGGGAGGGCACGGTTTGCAGGGCCCACATGATGGAATCCAGCTGTTCGACTCTCTGTGGTCTTGTGTGGGATTCCTAGCCTGAGGCAGTGCTAGGTAGAGTGGAGCCCTGCGCCCTTCTGGGGTGGAGGCCAGAACTCTTCTCAGAGAACCCAAGATGGGTGACCACTGCTAGGCTGTGGGATTAACACTGCTGCAGCCATTCCCGAGTCTTCCTCTCCCTGAGCTCTGACAGATGCCTCTTGCTGTAAGTTTTAGTTTCCTAACGAGCTCAAGAAAATGGATGACACACATCAGAGCCGTCTTAAATACCAGGGCACCGTGGTCCCAACACTGTCCAGGTTGCATTAAGAGTTGGGCTTTAAACTGGACAAGGCTGATTGTCAGTAGAATGTTCGAACCTTCAGTCTCTGATTTGAGCTACTTAGTCTGGATTTTTTTTTTTTTTTGAGACATGGTCTCACTGAGTCACACAGGCTGCCTTGAACTGGAGATCCTCTTGCCTCCCTGCGCCCAGCTTATCATAGGGATTTAAAAATAATGAATTGTTCAGCTCTCATCTGGTGTTTGGCTCTTCGGCTAGGGCAACCCTGGACATCTTTGACTACATCTACATAGATGCTTTTGGGAAGGGCAAGCAGCTGACGGTGAAGGAGTGTGAGTACCTGATCGGCCAGCATGTGACGGCAGCTCTGTACGGCGTGGTCAACGTGAAGAAGGTGCTGCAGCGCATGGTGGGCAACCTGCTGAGCCTGGGCAAGCGGTGAGTCGGGTCCCCCCGCGGGCGCCGCCCAGCTCTGCAGCCTTGACTGTTGCCAGAGCAGAGCGGTGCAGAAACCATCCCTGGAAAGCGAGTGGTCCTGAGGCACACTGCCTGCACTGCTGACTGTGCAAGCTTAGGCCTTTCTTTGAGATCCTCTCTTCATAATGCTGAAGGCATTCTCCAGGGCAAGGTTATCTTACGCAGGCAGAGATTATTTTTTAGAGGCAGGATGTCCTCATGTGCAAGTGCTTTCTGTCACTTAGATATAAGAAGACAGACAGAAATAGGAAATTGTCTTGCTTTGGGTACCAGGAAATTTGTCCTGAGAAAATAGAGCATTGTAGGTTGTATGTTACAGTAATAGCTTTCTACCTGGCAACAGAATTCTTTTTTTCTTTTTGTTTGTTTGTAGACTTTATTTTTTAGAGCAAGTATAGGTCAACGGCAAAATTGGGGAGAATGTTGAGAGAGTTCCCGTATACCTGCTGTCTCTTTGCAGACACCGCCTTCTCTACTGTCACCGTCCCTCACCAAAGTCCTCTGCACAAGCAATCCACCTACATTGACACATCTTTATCACTCCAGGCTCATAGTTTGCATTATGGTTCACTCTGTGGGTTTGGACAGATAACTGCCATGCACCCACTGCAAGAATGTTGTACAGGGGCGTCTCATTGCCCTGAACAGGATCCGGTGCTCATCATCGTTCGTTCTTAATCACTACAGAGTTACTGAGATGGCTAGCAATGAAGACACTTAGGAGTTTCATTTAGTGCTAGATTTATACTTATACTTATTTATACTTGTGTGTTTTCGACTCTTTTGGAATAGGACATATCAGAATCGGTATGGGATTTGTCAGTTACTTTTAAAATCTGCTCTTGGGAAAGGGAGTTCTTGGCTAAAAAGCAAATAGGACAAGACCTATGTGATCTTCCCCTAGGGAAGGCATCGACCAGTCGTACCAACTGCTCAGAGACTCATTGGACCTCTATCTGGCCATGTACCCCGACCAGGTGCAGCTCCTGCTCCTCCAAGCCAGACTCTACTTCCACCTGGGGATCTGGCCAGAGAAGGTAATTATTTTACTTTGATGCTTTGTCCTTTTCTTAGAGAGGAAAGTTCTAGATTGAAAGATGGCCGTCACAAGTTCATCCTTGTATTAACAACTTGTTACAAGTCTTTGAGTCCTGACAACCAGTTTTTTTCCATCTCCACTTGTTCTTAGGAATGCTGGTTCTACTGCTGGATTGCTTGTTGTCTTTGGGCCATTCCTAAGCACATGGGCCTCTGCCCTGCCCTTCACCCACCGCTGCCCCTGCCCCGGGATTGTGTCCTGGGTCTCTTGCACTGGGCAGGGAGAACTGTGCCGTAACAGTTAAGCTGGCCGTGAATAAACCCCTCTGTGACGGGAAGGCCAGGTCTTAGGTGGTCATGGGTGCCGTTGTGAAAACCTTGACTCTGTGTGGTTCCACTCGAATGGCCTTAGTTTTGTCATAGCCCCCTGAGGCCAGCAGCAAATGCTGTGAGAAGGCCCATGTTGAGACCAGAACTGGTCTTGGGCAAGTTGGGGACCAGGGACACATGGGCCAGTGTGTGTAATAGTGCCAGAGCCACAGCACATTCCGTTCCTGCCCTCTCTGTTCCCCAGAAAAACGTCAGTGACCATTTTGTTTGTTTAGAGCAGTGTGGTGAGGGGTTTTAATTCTGACCTCTCACTGGGATGTTGCCCAGGTTACAAGACAGGTAAAATCTTTCTGGAGAAAAGTTAAGTTATCCACAACTTTACATTGTTTAGATTTACATTGTCTGATTAGGTCACAGCTTTAAAGATCTAAGTAGTTCTAAGAATGCATCAGGGGAACTCCCAAGCTCCCAGCTTAAGGAAAGATGAAAAGAGGCTGTCCACAGACTGTCATGTCCTTGAGTGTCCATGTAAGGTGGTGGGAGACTCGGTTCTGCCCAGTTACCACTTCCTTCCTATAGCTCACTTGTCTAGGATTTAGTCATCTGTTCCTATTTATTTATTTATTTATTTACTTATTTATTGGCAGTACTGGGGTTTGAACTTGGGGCCTTGTACTTTCGAGGCAGGCGCTTTACTATTTGAGCCACACCTCCAGTTACTCCTTTATTTTTGATTCAAGGTGTACCTAGTTCCACTCGCTCTTTACTTTAGATTTGTTAAGAGATTTCACAATTGTCCGAGAAGTGCAGAGCAAACATTCTTTAAATGTAAATTCTGTAGATAGTACAGGTCATGATGTCCCCTTTGTGAAGGAAAATTCTTCAGAAGCTCTGGTGTGCTTACCTTCTTCAGGCAGCTCATTGCAGTGCACACTTCACACTCCCTGCAGGGAATGGCCTTGGCCTCCGCAGAGCCGTCCACCCGCCCTGCTGCCCAGCAGGCATCCCTAAAGCAGCTCCAGAACTGCTCCACACACAGCCTTTGCTGTCCAACATGGGCTGCTGGGCGGAGCAGCAGGACACTGTCCTTATGTGAACATAGGAAAGAAGGGGGCACGTACCCAGTGCACCCGGGACCCCTCTCAGTGCACAGACCCAGTCAGGGAGGCGACCCACCAAAACATGAAGGGGACTGGGATTCCCAGCAAGGAAGAACTCAGGCGATGCCCAAGTCGTTCAAGAAGGCTCCTCTCCAGAGGAGGGCTTGAGCCCATCTCACAGGGCAGGGGAATGGGCCATAGGTGGCAGGAGCAGCCCGTGCAGGGCAGAGGCAGGAGGGCACCATCTGCAGAGCCAGCCTGCTGAGGGCATGTGTGCATCTATGTGTGTGGGCATACATGTGTATATATTAAAATTTGCAGGGTTCAGATGAGCTTTTTGAGGTTTTGGCCTTGCTCTGTAGAAGGGACCTGTTCCTGGGCTGGAAAGACTTGATGCCATGCTTTACTGAGTTCCATTGGGAAGTGCAGCCTTGGTCACTACAGGAAGCCAGCCACTGTGACTGTGGCAGGCACAGAGAGTACCGGACGGTCGGTCGTGTGTTTAGAAGTCCCTGACTTTCCAGACACCACCTATCCTCTCAGCAGCCCTATGGGGTAGATAGCATTTTTATTTCTGCCGTTTTACAAGGTAACAGGCAGGACGAAGTTAGGTAACTTGCCAAGGTCCTCTGTGTATATAGGCAGCTCCAGCATAAAGGACTCCAACCCTGACTGGACCAGACCCGCTCCATGTATTGCCCTGGGGCGGGGGGTTTGTCGTGCCAAGGTGAGACTTATCTGAAGAAGCCAACAGACAGGCTCTTGCTGCTGAGAGCCACATCCTATTTTGGTATATTTTATCTTTCCCTGTGTTTCTGCATTTTAGCAGGAAGGGCCTGCTCCAGTTTCCAAGGCAAGCCCTTCTTCCATATTGAATGCCCCACTGGCACTTGCCTGCAACCACCTCTCTGCTCCCTGCCCAGCTGGCATTGTCACACTGTCCCTGACCACACTGTGCATTAGCTGCCCGCCTGTCTCTCCTCCCATACACATCCCAGAACACAGGGATCCACTCCCAGCCCTCCAGGCATCGTTCTGCCAAGGAAAACAGTGATCCCATTGTTCAGACTGTTCTTGTGATGGCTTAACCCAGCAGATGCTCTTCTTATCTGTCCTCGCTACTGGCTGCTCCCTTCCATGCTCAGTTCCCCGAGCCCCGTGTGCTCTGGTTCCCAGGTGCTTGCTGGTTCCTTGTCATCCATCTCTTGCAGTGCTCCACTCTGGGGTGGGCTCCAGCCTTCCTGTATTATGCAGCTTTCCCGGGGTGGCTTCCCTTCTTCTTGCTTCTCTTAACACCTGTGTGTGAATAGTTCCTGGATTGTGAGGCTCTAAGGCCCATAAGACTGGGCCACACCCCACTAGGCTCATCTCCCCCAGGAAGGCTATCTATCAGTCAGTGGAGATGTCCTCCATCTTGGATTTGGACTCAGGGTCCTGCTTGAGACCCTTCAAGCCTGTTTTATATGCAGTAGCCAAAGTCATCTTGATAAAATGCCACTGCTTAAGCCTCTCTATGTGCACACTCCCCTCTGCTTCCAGGTGAGACTTGTGCACTGCAGGGTGGCTCATGGGTTCTTAGTGGACCAGTCTGCTCACTTGACCAGCCATCACCATCTCTTGAGTGGTCACCTGGTGTTTGGCTGGACTGACTGTGGCCTCGTCCTCTCTACCCCTCCCATGCTGCAATCACCCTGCCTGTGCCACACCCCTGCCAAATAGATGCACTGTAGCTTCTCCGTCCTGGGTCCTGGGAGCCGTCCCACCCCACAGGGTCTTGCCCTTCACAGGAGCTGCTCTGAGGCTGTGTCCTCCTTCGCCAGTGGACCATGTTCTCTGAGAACAGGAACCATACCTCTGCTTCTTGCTGGAGCTATTCTCTATGAGTCTTGGCACAGAACATTTGTTAATGAATAAGAAATGACTGAAGTTCATTAGATACAGAAAAGGAGACTCCAAGAGAAGATCCAGATTTCTGGCACTGTATCACTGCAGAAATGAATGTTGGGGAATGGGCCTGCGTGGGGTCAGGAGGTGTAAGGCGAGTCCATTGCACTCCTGATCTGGCCTGACCATGAGGTGCAGGGGTTCTACAGCCTTTGGCAGGGGCTTCTGGTGTCATCATCTACTCACTGAAGCCCACAGACAGGAGGGAGTCAAGAAAACAGCCAAGATCTTGAGAGGCTCTGTAGAGGAGTGAGGTTTGGGGCCGAGCAGGACACAGCAGGACCCTGCTCCATAGGTCTGTTCTGCAGAGTTCCACTGGGCCTGCTTGTGTACTGGCCTCTGGCTAGCTACCAGCCACACAGCAAAGAACAATAGTTAGGTCCAAGACGGAGCCTCGAGGGTTTACCGTCAGCCCTCCAGCAGAAGGTCGCTACGCCCTGGATGCGAGGAAATGCGTCCTGGCAGGATCATTTCCAAAAGTTGTGGGTGCTTGGGGCTTCAGGCCCAGACCATTTGGAGTTCTGGTTTGCTTTTGTTTTTTGAGACAGGGTCTTGTTTTGTTGCCCCAGCTGGCCTGGACCTCTGAATCCTCCTGCCTCAGCCTCCTAAGTCTAGAATCACAGGTGTGTTCCACCATGCCAAGTCAAGACCTAGAGTGTTTGGTTAGAGATAGTGGATGCCCCCAGTCAGCACTGTCCTTTGCCAACACGCCAGGCTCCATGTCACACTGTCTTCTCTACCTCTGCGCTTGCCCTCCCCTCCTCCCCCTGCTCCCTGTCTGCTGGGAAGGGAGGGGCCATGTGTGTACACAGGCACACGAGGACAGCCACTGTCAGCACAGCGAACGGGCTCACTGCTGAGTAGGATGCTGCAAAGGACAAGTGACATTAGTTTCCCAGTGGAGGTGGGAAGTGGATGGACATTGGCCATCAGTGATTCTTATTCCAGCTGGGTTATTTGAAACTTTGCACCGTGGTAATTAAAATGTCTGTGTTGTTGCCATGGTACAATGCTGGTTGAGACCTCAGCTTGACAGACTCACGGCGCAGCTTCTCACCATGTGTTCTTACTCTGCTACCTCAGGCAGCTTATTTAACCTCACTAAGCCTGATTCCTCTTCTGGAAGCAAGCAGTGGCTCCTTAGCACAGTGCCCAGCCACGAATAAAGTAGTGGCATTCACATAAGGAAGCACTGAGATCCTGAAACAGGATTAGGATTTTTATTGTTGCTAGGCAGGTGCTCTACCACTTGAGCCATGTCGCAGCCTTTTTGCTTTGTTTTTCAGACAGGGGCTCTCGTTTTTTCTTAGGCCAGCCTGGATCACAATCCTCCTATTAATGCTTGCTGCATAGTTGGAATGACAGGCATATACCACTGTGCCCAGCTGTTGACAGGGATGAGGCCATAGCTAACTTGTTGCCTCAGCTGTCCCGAACCTCAATCCTAGGATACAAGTCTGAGCCACTGTGCCTGACTCAGAGGTTTAGAATGGTAGTATCTTATGTTGCGTGAAACTAGTTGTCAGAACACCTTGACAGGCTCAGTCGTATTAAGAAATAGGAAGGGGGCAGTGATTAATCATTTGATAAGTGAAAAAAGTTCAGGTGGTCAGTTTGACAGATCTGGGCCTAGATCAGAGGTTGCCTTTGCTACTAAAGCAGGCTGCAATTTGGGACCCAGTTGTAAGGACAGACTTGTCAGAGACCTGTTCTGTGCTGTAAGCTTCACGGGTAGTAAATGGACGTGTGTGTGTGTGTGTTAGACTTTGCTTGAATGTTCATTTTTCTGTAAAGGCATTGTAGGCAGTAGAAAGGCTGTGACCATGGGTCAGATAGTCCTGCTACTACCCCCTGCCAGTCTTAGCTCTACAGAGACTTGCTTCTCCCCCTGCCCACTTAAATACTGAATGCATCGCATTGTGAGTTAAGATACTGATGTGGTGGGCAGGACTCCAGATCCCTGAGGGGCGTATGAAATTGTAAACCAGGAATTCATCCTTCAATGCCTTTCTTAGTGATCCTTCCTGCCCTAGCCAGCACTGAGGGAGTTTGTGGACACATCTTCTTTGTCCTGGTTAAAGCATCGTAGGGTTTCCCCCTCTCCGTGCATGAGTGGCAGAGCAAAATAGTTTGCCTGATTGGGTGTTGAGACATTCCTGCAGTTCCCTTGCTGGCCCAGAGCATTCCGCCTTTCAGAGAGTGTGCCTGGTCACACGTGCCCCTTCCCAGCCTTTGTCAGGTTATGTAGGTAGGTCTCGATCCCACGCTGTGGAAAAGAAAAGGCCTAGCGAAAATATTATCTCCTAGTCTTTCTGTCTTGTCTTGAAGGTGCTTGACATCCTCCAGCACATCCAAACCCTCGACCCCGGGCAGCACGGGGCGGTGGGCTACCTGGTGCAGCACACTCTCGAGCACATTGAGCGCAAGAAGGAGGAGGTAGGCGTGGAGGTTAAGCTGCGCTCCGATGACAAGCACAGAGATGTCTGCTACGCCATTGGGCTCATTATGAAGCACAAGAGGTAAGTGCCTGGGTTTCCCGGGACACCGCGGAGGAGGAGCTGACTCAGCTGCAGCTGGGCATTTTTGGCCACTTATCCACCAAGAGCTCAGCCTAGAAAAGACAAGTGGGCCTAAAGAGAAAAGAAAGACCTGCACCTCTTTGTTTTGAAGCAATGCAGTTAGTGAGAGCTAATGCTTTAGGCTGGCTGACCCTTCTCTGTGCAGGCGGATGGGAGCCTCTCTGAGCAGAGCTTGGTCTCTGTGATCCTCATCGCTCTTCTCTTCCCCTTTCATCTCTGCCTGTGGAGTCTGCGTCGTGGGCAGGGATTTCTTGAGCTGTAGGTCAGCTCATGGTCTGTTCACTAGACAAAATTAAATTGTCCATAGCAATGGCGCTGACTCAGTCTACCAGCCAGCGAGGGGCTGGGGCTGCTGTTCTCACCAAGTGCCGTTGCCAGCCCTTCAAAAGCGTGTTTGCATGGTGACCGGCACATGGCTCCACACTATGGTTTATTTTACACTTCCCCAGCTCCTGCTCAGGCTGAGGTGCTTTCCGCATGGTTATGGGCGTTCAGGCTTGCTTTGGTGAAACGCTGCTTCCAGTATTTTCCCTTTTCTGTTTCCTTACCCGTCTTCCTCAATGACTTGTAGTTGTGCCTTATTCTCTTTGCCAGTCTCTGTGAGCATAAGTCGAAAATCTCTTCCTGGTTTTTGGCTCTGTTTTCATTCTCTTAGTGTGTTCTTTTTTTAAAACTTTATTATGGAAATTCCCAAATGTGTAAGAGTAGAGAGATGAGCATAGGGAACAGGACGTTGTATAATCCAGCTCCAGCAGTTAACATCCTGGGTTCATCTTTACTGCTTCTTCTTCACCCTCACACCCTCCTCCCTAGATGAACTGAAGCAAATCCGGTGTCTCAGCTATTTCCCAGTGTGTCTCTGTAAAATGAGGACTATTTCCCTAATACCAATACATTTACCGTCTTTTTGTCACATCTAGGAAAGCAAGTAATTCCTTAATCTATCCTTTATCTAGCCAGAGCTATGCTTTTCCAGTTGATATCATGAAAGAGAGTCCGTTGGTCTCTTAGTTTTAATGCTGTCCAGTTAGTTGGTCTTCCTTCATGGGTTGTGCTTCCCTCTTCTAGCTTCTTTCTTCCCCGTCTTGAGTCATGAAGCTGCTGACGCTGAAGCTGTGCATTGTGCGTAGTTGATTTTGGTGTGGTGTGACAGTCCAGGTCCTGGGGACCTTTTCGTTTGGATGACCCACGCTCCCTTGGCTCACTGTTGAAGTGCATTCCTTCTCAAACGAAGAGCTGTGTTGACAGTAAGAGTTTGTGGAGAGGAGCAGGAGCGGCTTGAGAGACGATCAGATGGGAATTGAGGCAGCTTGAGAGAAGCCGAGCCATTTTTTCTATTCCACAGTGGAGTGGCTGTGTCGGGGCCTCAGAGACCTGACCAGTGTCCTCTTGTGCTCGTTAGGTATGGCTATAACTGTGTTATCTACGGCTGGGACCCCACCTGCATGATGGGACACGAGTGGATCCGGAACATGAATGTGCACAGCTTGCCTCACGGCCACCATCAGCCTTTCTACAATGTGCTGGTGGAGGACGGGTCCTGCAGATATGCAGCCCAAGGTAAGTTGCTCGCTGTTCACACTTCGTGTCCAGGGTCACCAGAATGTTCATAGGTGGCTGTCGTCCCCTGGCCAACCTCATTAGGACTGTTACTCAGCTAAACCTTGTGGGCAGGTACTGGTGCAGCCACACCAAGAGTTAGACAGACAGACAGACACACAAACCGAATCTCTTCCAGCACTGTGGCGGATCTGTGACCTGAGTGGCCGCTGCATATGCCAATCAAATTCCTAATAGTCCTGCCTCCAGGACCTGTGCGTTCTGGTCCCTAGACCTGCTATGCCTTCCCAGAGTCGCCCTCTTGTGGCCACTTGTGGGAACTGAGCCCTCAGGCCCTGAGTCAGCAACACCGACACACACAGACACATACACAGACACACACACACACACCACACACAGACACACACACACATACAGACACAGACACACACACACAGACACACACACATACAGACACACACATACAGACAGACACACACAGACACACACACACACACACTTTGGTGTAGGTGTTTGGCAGACTTGAGGTGGAGACCAGATGGCCGTCAGTGTCAGTCTGCCTTTCTTTTCCCTATTGAATTTTACTTGGTTAATAGGTTGGATTAATGCCTTGCACATTAATCAGGCATGCACATTAATTTCATAAGGTGTTTTTTTTTTTTTCCCTGAGGTGCTGGAGATTGAACCCAGGGTTGTGCATGCAAGGCAAGCACTGTATCACTGAAGGGCATCCCAACACTTGACATTGATTTTTTTGAGTAAAACGGACCATGGATGCCAGCATGGTGACAGGCGCATTCCAGCATTTGCCTAGCAGACCTGAGCACATGGCGTTCTGGTCATCTCCATTTTAACTTACAGATAGGAGTTTGAAGCCAGGAGCTTGGCAGAGAGCCTCGCCCTCACCCGCCAGGCCCCACTTCTCATATCTAGTCTGAAACACCAGGGTTGCCCCATCTAAACACAGTCAGAGAAATACTGAGAGCATCCAGTGTCAGAGGTTCCCAGAAGGCCGGGAAAGTTCACAGCGATTCTTGTTTAATCAACAGAGGAGTGTCTGTGATGCAGGTCACTTAGCCAGCAGTGGTAGGCTGGCAGGGTGTGAGGGGTCCAGTGTGCTCCTGTGTGCAGCCAAAGCCACACCAGATACGAAACTTCTGAGGCTGTGTCAAATAAAAAATCACACTAACAATCTCCAAAACTCAAAAAGTGGTTTGAATGTTTGCCGGGCCATCTGGTGCCTACTGTGGGGGACAGTGGGTGTTTGGGGAACACAGGAGGCCCCGGCATGCATGGCATTACCGAAAGCCCACTGTGCAAGTCTAGTATGAAGACCTTCAGTATTTGGTATTTGAGTGTCTGGAAACTTCTCTGTTGACTTGGATATGGGCCTTTTGGAATAGGTAAAAGTGAGTATTTGATCTCAGGTGTTCTGAATTCCTGTCAGAGATTCAGGAACTTACGTCTCATCACATCTGAGTGAGCGTGCATGTAAGGTTTGTGGTCATCGCACTGAGCAACTTCTGCCCAGGTGTCGGTTTTACTGTCTCTAAAGTGGAGATTGAGCAAGGTGCGTGACTGATGGCAGTAGTAGTGTTTTGAAGATCCTGAGGAGCTTTCCTGCGCTGTGTTCTTTTCTGTCTCCTCTGCCAGCCATCTTCCACTCAGGGCCTCTGTGTGTCTTGGGGACCGTGGTGTGCTGGCTGCAGGGTGCAGAAGTGGAGAGCTGTTCCTTCCCACACTGCTGGCACTCAAGGACTCCTCAGGCTCGTCTCACCGCAGGGCTTGTTAACCATTTAACTCTTGGGGCCATGGTTCTACCTCGGGCTCTTCCCAGCCCCATGGCCACCTCCCACAGTCCCTAGACATTGGCCTGTGAAGGCCTCTCAAAATCCTAAATGTTTCTCACTAAACTCCCTGTTGTGCCCCCTCCCCCCAGCCTGCTTCTGTATGTCCCACCTTAGCATGGCCCCCCTTGGGGACCCACCGGTCCTCCTCCTTGTCTCCGCACCCTCATCATGCATCCAGCATGTTCACGCACAGCTCAGTCTCCTGCACGCCTCTCAGGCCCATTCCTGACTGCTGGCCTCACACTTCTCATCTCTCCTGTTGAGCTTTTCCCATGGGCAGCTGCCCCAGGCCTGCCACCCCATCCACACTCCTCCATAGGGCATTTCCTAAACTGAGGCCACTTGTGGCCTTCTTGCTGCAGTCCCTCCCTGCAGCCTCACCTCTGTCCCTGTCTGCCCTGCTCCAGTCCACTTACGCAGCTGTTCCTTAAACTCAGCAGTCTTGCTCACTGCCAGACCTTCACACATGTGGCTGCCCAGCAAATAGGTGGTTTGGCTTAATGTGTCACTTCCTCCCAGGAGCTTTGCCCAGCCCTGCCCTGTGCATCCCCAAGCACCTGTCCTTCCAGGCTGAGCAGCATCAGGAGCTGTGGTGTGGCTGCCTGGTCCACTCAAAGTGTGTCCCAGTGGCTGGGGGAAGGGAGCCTGTGTCAGAGAAGTGCCAAAGAGTGAAATGAGTGGAAAGAGTGCAGAATGAGTGAGAGGCTCAACTGCGTTGAGAGATTTTCAAAAGGGGGAAGTGGTTGAAAGAGTGTATCAGATATCTTTCTGTCCACATTCCATGATTCAACAGGTAACACTGACTGTGTTTATCCGCAGGTAGATTGGGTCTGTTTGCTCTCCCATCTGAAGGAATGTTGAGGTTTCATGACCCAAGAATAAGGACATCCCTCTTCTACATTGCTCTGGTCACGGTATCACACTTGCCAAATAGCAGCATTTCATAATTCCCAGTGTCAGTCAGTATTCAGATCTCCCGTTGCCATAAAAAGAATTTTGAGAGTTTTGTTATTGTTTGGAAACCAGGATCTAGCCAGGACTGGTGCACTGCATTTGGCTTTTATCTGCCTCAGTCAAGCAGGTCCTCATTTGTCCTTGTCCCCATTTGTCATGACTTTTTTTTCTTTTTGTAGTACTGAGGTTTGAAGTGACTGACGTTTTGGAGAGTCCAGGCCAAGCGGTTGTCTTAGAAAGTGTCTTGATGTTCTGGGTTTGTTTGTGTGTTGGCTGTACACTGGAAGCAGGTCTGAGTCTTGGTTAGGGCAGGGTAAACATGTTGCCAGTGAAGCTCCTGATAGATGCTGTGTGCGTCTGTGTCCCCATACGTGTCCCATCCCCTGTGTGCTGAGTTTGACCGAGACAGCAACTTGCTGAGGGACGATTTCCCTTTCCGGGAAACTCACAGGGCCTGCTGTGGCATCCTGTGACTGTCTTATCCCAGCGACCTGTGATGTTGTGGTCTGTCCTAGCCCTGTTGGAGGTCCCTGCCTAAACCCTTACAGAACTGTGGCCAGTGAATCTATGCTGCTCCACTCTCTGTTCTGCGAACAAGAGCCTGCCTCCCCCGCTTCTCTCCTGTCCCCAGCCTACTGGAGAGTCCTGGGTTTTCACTTCACTGTATTGTAGTCACTTGGGACAATTTTATGCTCATAGTCACCCTTATTTAGTTGGTGAGAGACCTAGAGAAGCTCGATTTTAAAACATTTCTTTAGGTGTGGCTTTGAATGTTTCTGGGTTAATTTGTTTGCAAACTTTTCTTGATGTAAATTTTCAACCTTTGGCTCTGGTGATCGTATCACCCTGGTTGAAACCCATTAATACTGCATTAATTACTAGCCCTAAACAGAGAGGAGAGAGAACTGCAGCCCACAGACACACATGCCAGGGGACAGCCATCTTTCCTGAGATTCCACCTGAGCGGCATCTCGTGTTTCTCACTTACTCCCACGAGTGGGCGTGCGTTAGCACTTTCTTGGCACTGGGTGGAAGACTTGTGGCTGTGGTCCCAATGTCCATGTTGGCGTCTTAGACACCATGGAAGATGAACGTCATGAATGCTTGGGCTGAGTCAGCCAGTACTGAAAGTCGGGAGTTAAGTCCCACACGAAAACCTGGTTCTGAAATGTTCATAACAGTAATGGGCCTGGTAGGGTGATTGGCGCATGCTCCGCCCTCGCCATGCTGCCTCCCTTTCTGGATTTGTCTTAAGCTGCCGTATTATAACCCCACGCAGATAGCGCGTGAGGGTGTCGGGTAGTCCCCACCCGGGTGGGTGTGAAGTGACACAGCCACTTGAGGAAGCAGTGTGCCGCTCTCTTTGTGACAGAAACTCGAGGAGCTCAAGGGTTCATTCTCTTCCAGCGGAGCAGCTTCACCCCATGGTCCCGTGACTAGAAACACATTCACACAGAGACCCATGGAGACTCTTGGTCCCTTGTGAAAATTGCAAAGCAGTGGTCATGGATCAGTAGGCGCCTGCACAGTGGGTATCTGCCCAGACTATGAAATAGTAAGTTGTGACAAGCCGCTGTGGTAACTGCTCAGAGACCAGGCTTACAAATAAGCACGAGAAAGAAAACACTGTCATATGTGCAGGATGCCTGTAGACTAGGACGCACCCTCCTGGGCCCCTCACGAGGGAGGGGACAGGGCCAGGCCCACAGGACTGCAGGCTGTGCTGCACAATATACACTCATGGATGGTTGGGAAGTGGAGAATTTTACATAAAACAGGAACCCTTTCTGTGAAGATTCAAGGGAGTCCAGAAATACTTCTCAGGGTTTTCCAGATGTTTCCGCGCTCCTTACTCGTCTCCTTCTCAACTGAGTGACGCCCCTCGTAAAGCCTGTGTTGAACACCTTGTTTGATGTCCCCATCACTTGCGATGCTTTGTCCCCTCCCCTCTTGCTCTGTGGCAAGCAAGCCTTTGCAACACACCCAGTTCCCTGGCTCCCCCTCACTTGCACTGTCATTCACCTATCAGCATCTTCCCAGGGCTCTTCCTGAACTTCAGAAAGCCTCTTGTTTGGAGCCCACATTCAGAATTCTAAGCTTCCTGGTCATGGTCCTGGCCCTGGTCCTGACAGGTCCGTGGCATGGACCTGAGTTTTCCCTCCCGCCCGAACAGGGTGCTTCTCAGCACACCTGGGGCAAGGGGGCTGCACTGCAGTGGTCACGGAAGTGTCTTCTGCACAGGGTCTTGCCTGAGCACTGTTGCCACTTGGTGGCACTTGGCGGCCATCATCCTTTGAGGGGAGTCCTGGTGTGCAGAATGTTGAGTGGGACATTGACCCACTCACTGCAAGCTGGTGACCCCCAGTTCTGAGTGCCAAAAATGTCTCCAGACTTGGCCACATGTCCCTTTGGGGGTAGGAGAGCCCCCAGTAGAGCACCGGCACACTACACAAGCTGGCCCCAGAGCAGGGTTCACATTTCCTGCTGGGAATATAGTGTTTTAAATATCTGTCCTGCCTGCTGGTGACAGGCACTGGGCCCTTTGCACAGAGGATATTTTATCTCTGGTGGTATCCTAGCTTCTCTTGCTCCCTTCAGTGTTTCTGTGCAACTTGGGAAAGTCCAGGGAGGGGCCCTGGCAGCATGGGGCTCTCAGCAGCTGACCTGGTCACCCATAGGCCATGGCTACCTCCCAACAGACCCTGGAGGACAACATAACTAACTGGACTGAGAGGGAGGTGGCAGCAAGGGGGGAGGGCAGCAAAGGGCATTTCCAGTCAGTGGTGTTTCGAAGCATTTGTTGGTGGTAGGGTTTTTTTGCATTTATTGATTCCACCCCCTCCCCCCCAGTTCCAGCATTTAGAAATGTAAAACATAGCTCACTGGAACCATCTACAGTGCTGTCATGGCAGAGGAGAGAGAGAGCAGGCAAGCCGGCCACCCATAGGTCCCAGGTGACTGCCCTGTTCTCTCCTGGTAGGGACTGCTGTGCCTTTCCCACTCCTGTGACCTGGACTTGGTCCATATTTAACAAAACAAATAGATGGGATTATACCACACTCCGCCTCTTCCCAGGAACTAACATCAGGGGAAGTCAGGGCTTTCCAAAAATCCGTGTATTTCCCTGTGTGCTCTGGGAGTTCCAGGCCTCCGTGTGCCAGGCCTTGTGGCTACCCTGTGAGCGTTGCCTGTCGGTGGCCTTGACCAGGAGCTCAGTCGGGTTAATTCAGAGGCTGGGCTGTGCAGAGAGGGGCTGCATATTGAGCAGACAGGCCTGGGGGTGGGGGTGGGGGCGGAAGCAGGATTCTGCCCAGGTCAGCTCCCTCCTGGAGTGGGTCATGCGGGATGTGGCTGGGCATCTGAGCCACGGTGGCCCTAGTCTGTGTGTCCACTGAGGACGGTGCTGTGAGGCACTGGCCATTCACTAGGCCTGTGCATAAGCTACATTGCAGATTTTTTCAGATTTGAGGCACATGGAAGACTTTAGTCTTTTGCATGCCCTGCCTGTAAGGCCTCTCTCTTACTCCATTTTTACTCTTTTTGGCAGTACTGGGGTTCAGCCCATGCCTCCCACTTGCTAGGCAGGCGTTCCACACTCCATCAGTCCTTTTTGCCTTAGTTATTTTTCAGGTACAGTCTCATATTTTTGTCCAGGCTAGCCTGGACTGTGAGCCTGCTATTTATGCTTCCCATGTAGCTGAGATGCGTATGCCACCATGCCAGGCTTGTTGGTTAAGATGAGGTCTTGCTAGCTTTTTCCCAGACTGGCGCCCAAGATCCTCCTGATCTCTGCCTCCCAAGTTGCTGGGATTGCGGGTGTGCACCACTGCTCCCAGCCTGTTACTCCTTTTTAAAGTCTTATTTTCTGTTCCTTTGTCTAGTGGCAAAGCAGGGGGAGGAGGCAGAGTGGCCTTCTTGGTGTGTGCAGGGGTTAGCAGTGCAGGGAGCAGCTTGCTGTGCGTTGCCTCAGTGGACCTCACCAGAGCCCTGGGAGGCAGCTGCTCATTCAGGGAAGTACGTGACCGGTGGGAAGATGGCCCCAGGTGGACAAGCACGGCTTGTGTGGCGGCTGCTCTCAGTAGACGGTGTTGCAGTTCCCAGTCTTGTACCCAAGTGATGGGTGGCTTCTGCAGCTGTTGATGAACCGGCAGGTGGCCGTTGTCTGCCCGCTCTGGCAGGTGGCTGTCAGGTCACCTGGTGGGGTGTTCCCAGCTGGCTAGTCCTGAGAGGCTCCGTACACTATAGGAAGCTGTTCCTGTGGAACCGTTGGGGCACCGGGGCCACCATCCTTCCCTCTGTCCCTCCCCACCTTTCTCCTCCCTGCATACCGTGAAGCTCTGGCCTTCCCTCCTCCTCCCGCTCAGAACTCTGGTGAGGGTGGTGGAGGGTCTCTGGGGAGAAGCCTGTAGGTGTTGAAATGTTAACAGGACGTCCGTTTACTACTCTGCCAACAGAAAACCTGGAATATAACGTGGAGCCTCAAGAAATCTCGCACCCCGACGTTGGACGCTATTTCTCAGAGTTCACGGGCGCACATTACATCCCAAACGCAGAGCTGGAGCTTCGGTACCCGGAGGACCTGCAGTTTGTCTATGAAACAGCGCACAACATTTACAGTGCAAAGAAAGAGAACGTAGACGAGTAGTCTAGTAGAGGACACTGTCCCTTTGCTGCTGCTGCTGCTACCTTCCAAGAGAACGGGGTCCTGGGTCCTACCGGACCCTGCCACCACCAGGAGCCACTTCACCAGCAGCGGGCTGCCTCCCCCGTCTGAGCGACGTGCGCTCTCCTCCGGCCACAAAGACAATGTTGCTCTCCGCTACACTAGTGATGAACTTGAAAGGCACTGTGTTCAGTGGCATGGCTTGTCTGCTTGTCCTGTGGTGACAGTTTGTGATACTGTCTTCATGAGTCTCACAGTTGACACTGTTCCTCTTAGCCACCTTCCGTCCTTTTGTCTGTCTGCATTTGTCTCAGAACATTTCATTGGCTGAACAGATGGTCACACATTTGCAATAATTTCTTTCTGATTTCTCTGTGGACCGCGTGCAAGCCGGGAGCAGGACCTGGTGTCTTTGTGGCCTGGTGTTAGCTGTGCGTTCAGAGGTGAGGCTCTGTGGCGCCATCTTGGTCTTGGTGGCGTCTTCACCACAAAGCCATTAGCAAGCTAATGGAATCAGTCACTACAATTTGATTTTTGCTGATACATGAAACACAGTTTTCAGGTGTACCTCTTTTTTGTTTTTTAATTTAAGTTGGGAGAATGACAGTCTTCTCTTATATTTCTCTCAGATTTATGCACAGTTCTATAAATCGTGAGTTTTCTATTTTATTACATAAGTTCTGTGAGAAAATGCATAATAATGGCCTTTAAAGTGGAGTGCTCTACCTTCATCTGCTACTCCTTTCTTTAAAATGACTACTTTCTTTCAGTCTTAAAAATCTCCAGTGTCATGAGTAGATCTTAAGTCAGTGATAGGTTCCTTTTTGTAATGATGCATACACATCTGATATTCAAATATTTGCTCTTAGAAATCCTATTCTCTGGTCTCCAGAGACCAAATAATGGGGTTTTTGTTTTTCAAATCAACAAAAACTAATGAACTTTAATTTAAAAAAGACATTTCATGTCCCTCGTTATTCCTGAGAGCCACTTCTAGACCCTTTTCAATGTAGTGGGGTAGAAGGAAATAAATGTCTTTAATTTTTAAGAGTGTTGGACTCGTGGGAAAGGAGTTGTGCATGTGAGCTGCCTCCTCAGGCCAAGGATGTAGCTTGTCCTTGTGTCATGGGGAGGCCTGGTGTCAGGCACCTGGCTTCTTTTCCATGCTCTTAAGAACTGACTGGGAGGGGACTGAGTTTAGCAGCCCTGGGGCATCCTCCTCACCACCTGCCAGTTCTCAGGCAAGGGTAGCTTGTCATCACCAGTAGAAGCCACCCTGTGGGTCAGCACCTGGCTACTCTGCTCTTCGCCAAACAGCTGCCCTAGGAAGCCTCGTGTCTCCATTTGCATGCATTGTTCTTGCACCGCTCTCTCACTTTGGAGGTCCTGGGGTGAGGAGGTTTGGGGAGCAGGTGAAGACAGTTAGGCAGTTACTAGAGAGAGGGGGCTTTAGCCACCGCTCCTTCCAGCCTGGATCAACTGTAGTCCAGTGTCTGTGTTCCTCATCAGTCAAGTCCACGTCAGAAGATTTGAACTTAAACTTGGAAATGTGACCACTCACAATACCTGGCCTGCCTGAGGTTGCGGGGATTCTACACTACTCTTATTTAAGGTAAAACTTAGCTGATATGGAATTCACGTTATGAGATGCATTGTAAGAAACTGATGCATGCTGAGTTATGGTCATTGGTTTTCTGGTTTGATTTCCTTTTTACTTAGAGTGACATCAGAGCCAAGAAAGATGGTTTCCCTATGACCCAGCTGTAAATATGTATCTAGCCTGTTTTTAAACGTGTTCCTTCATGAATGCTTCATTTGGCTGCAGGAAGCCGGTACCACCTGTGTACGTTGGTTTTGGGCACTTTATATTTTTCTAAAACTGTGTTTTGGATCCTGTACTCTAATAAATCATAAGTTTCTTTTTAAAATTTTTCCCAAAAGTTTTCTCCATTTTAAAAAGCCCTCTTCTAAAAGTAGAGCTTCACAGAGTTAAAATATTAACTATTTGGATAAAGAACTTTCTTTCCTCTTCAAATGAATGCCCAGGGATTTTTGTACAATGATTAATAAATGGAACTTACCAGAGAACACACGCAAATGGCCTGCCCGATTCCATTTCAGAACCAAAAAGCCATGCTGAGAGAGATGGTCTCTGTCTGTCTCGACCTGAACGAGGGCACTTGCTCCGAGTCTCTCACCGTGAGTGAGTGACCAGCGTCCCTATTTGCTGTGACCGCCTGCAGGACATTCAGGTCTGAGCTCCTGTGGCTTTGAGAGTATCAGGTTGTCAGGCAAAGATTGCACCTCTTAATTGTGTGAAAAGACACATTGCAGAGGGAGAGCCACCAAGGCTGATGGCTGTCCTTGTCACTCTTCACCTGAGCTGCTGTGCTGTGGGCAGCGAGTGCAGGACGCCAAGTCCCCAGTGCACTGTGCTGTGCTGACTGCTTGTGATGCGAAGACACAAGTTAGGACCACACAGAGTCCAGTGGCATCCTATGGCAGTGTTCCTCCCAGTCCCCCAGCTGTGATGGGGACTTCCCAGAGGAGACCATGGAGGGTCGCAGCAGCCTGTCAGTAGGCCTAGGGTTCTGCATCTCCCCACACACACCATCGGGGTTCAGCGTTTGCGGGCACTTAGAGAACCGGTCTCGGGGAGACACAAGGTGCCCACACCGTCAGACCAGTTTACAGTGTGCCCTGCTTGCAGACTGTACCCACCCGATGAGATTTTGAAAAGTTGCTGTCGGCCTGCTCCACTGGCCACCTTAGCTGAGTCCAGCCTACGGGCAGCACCAGCTTTAGGTATTAAACTGAGCCAGGCAACCATGTCCCAGGGGTTCCTTCAGCCACTTTCAGGTCCCTCTGCCGTAAAGGGAAACTTTTTCAAATCCCATTCCAAGAATGTGAAATTAGACTGCCAGCAACCTGGTAATTTCACACTATCTCTGACCGTGATCAAGGTGTGTCATTTGGTATCTTTGTTTTGTCTTGGTTTTTATGAAAGAAAGGAGAGAATGTTTGGGTAAAATGCAGAGTTTGGCGCATGACCATTTAGTTTTGGAGATGTGGCTGTGTTGTGTTACCTTGTACCGTGTGCTGGAGACAGGGCCAGACAGTAAACACTTCAGTCTCTGCAGGTTTCGAACCATCTCTGCTGCATGTCCTTTGTAAAAGTGTAAAAAACCCACTCGGAGATGTACAGTGGGCTGCAGGCTGGACGTGACCTGTGGCCAAGGTTCACTGACCTTGGGTAAGCTGTGGGCAGGCCGAGGCTCCTATCCTGTGCATACGTTGTGGGGAGGGTCAGGTCAGACTGCTCACAGGAGGGTGGGAGAGCAGGGTGTGGGGCCCCAGTCCTGCATGGCCATGCTTCCCTGTGCTTTAACCTGTATCCGAGGCCCCAGGACGTTCCTTCAGGGAATAAAATGACGTGTGCCGGCTAATCAGCAATGTTCTATCAAGCCTTTGCTAGTTCTGTAATAAATGGACCCCAAAACTGTACTGCAAACACCAGCTGCAAGCGTGGGGGCCACGCCAACCTCTTCTATTTTATTTTTTAGGGACTGGGGGGGGTTCAGTTCAGGGCCTCCCGCTTGGTAGTCAGGCCCTCTACCACTTGAGCCACGCCTACTCCTTTTTTATCTTTTGACTAGGATCACAAGGTACTGTCTGGGAGCCTCCTATGTCTTCCTCCCACCTAACTGGGATTACAAGCTACACACCACACCCGCATTGTTGATCAAGATGGGCTCTTGCTAATTTTTTTGCCTGGACTGGCCTTGTATCTGGGATCACAGGTATGAGTCACTGAGCCCAGTCTATTTAGGTTTTGTTTGAAAAAGGGTCTCACTCTCTGGATAGCTCAGACTGGCCTGGAAGTTATAATCCTCCTGCTTCAGCCTCCGGAGTACTGGGATTATAGGTGTGCACCACCACACTCAGCTTTCTTTGGTTTTTACAACAATCTGGTTAGGTTACTCTTCTGCCATGATAGTCTCAAAAGTTTAATAGGTTACTAACCAACTTAACTTGTGCCAGCAATGGTACTCCAAGTTTTCTTCCAGAACCTTCTAGACTGCTTTGTGGCCTCATGCTGCTCTCCCAACTCCCTAACTTAACGGTTGCTGTCTTAGTCCTGTTAGCCAAAGGGAGTCTGTGGTCATTCCATAGAAAAACGTTTACTGGCTTCTGTTGGTCAGGGCTACAGTATTGCTTCACTCTGTCTCCTGGTGTGTAGAACCAGTTGCCTTTTCTTGTTTTCATTGTTTGAGACGGTGTCTCCCTGTGTTGCCCAGTTGGCCTTGAATTAGATTCCTCCTGCCTTGATCTCCCAAGTGCTGGGATTACAGGTGTGTACCACCACACCCAGCCAGGAGGTATGGGATTTCTCACTGTGAGAAAACCCAACACATTCTTCCTGAACTCCTGGCTCTCGCGTCCCCTTAGCATAAACAGCACGGGGCAGCTGCACCCGCTGCTCTTGGCCTCTCCTGGGGGCCTCCAGGCTTGCTAAGGGCTCTGGCTCCACCTTTGAAGATGTCAACGATGCCACCCAGCGATCACCCCCAAACCCAGCCCTCCACCCTCCTGCCCGTTGCAAGTGTCTGGCCCTGACGGCCAGGTGAACACTGTATCAGGAAGGGAGGGAAGGAGGGAGGGAGGGAGGGAGGACTGGCAGAGACCAGCTTTGTGCCTGCGCCTTTGAACTGCCGGGGCCCTGGTTCTCCATCAGAGGGTCTGCCCTCTGCCTTCAGGGCCTGAGCCTCAACAGGTTTAGTGCCCAGTGTGGCCTCTGCCCAGCTCAGGGTCACGAGTTTAGAACAGGTCGGTGGTGCCCGGTATTGGGGAGCAACTGTTTAATCCTGCCTGCCTGTGGAGTGCAGGGGGGCTCGCCTGTCTCCTCGGCATCTGTCATTGCATTGTGCCTCTGCTTTAGGAGGGTTTGTGTTTTGAGTCAGGGTCTTGCCATGTCTCAAACTCTCAGTGTAGCCCAGACTGGCCTCGAACTCTTGATTCTCCTCGGCTACTCCTATCTGAAGCTTAAGAGACAGGCAGGACACCCTGCCAGAAAGCTCAGACGTCCTTCTCTCACCCTGTTAGAGCTCATTGTGTCCAAGCCCTTACTGTGCCCACCGTGGATATGCTCCGAGCTTTCCCAGTTTACACACAAGAAAACTAAGGCTCAGAGAGGCTGAGGAGCTAGCCCAGGGCAGCACAGCCACTGCAGAGCAGGCCCAGAGCCCACCGCAGCTCTGCCTGACCCCACAGCCCCAGCTGCTGCTCACAGCCTCGCCGTCCAGTCTGCTGTAACTCCGAGTCCTCCTGGATGAGGCCGGAGGCCGGCAGTCCTCCCCAAATAGAAAGAAGGCTGTGCTCTCAGCCCGGAGGGAACAAGGTTGAAGCCAATATGGTTTGGCCAAGATAGAAAAGCGCAGGGCGGTGGCGTCGGGCACCTTAGGGACCTGGGATTTATCTGCACACCATTGTTTTGTCAACCAGGGACCAGGGGTGCCAAGCCAGCGGCTCAGCCCCATAATATGCCTGTGTGACCGTCAGCAGCCTAGATCCCCCTCCACGCGTGGCTCCTCCACTGACCGTGTTTCTTACTCACCAAAGTCCTCGCTCGAGGGCCATCTGCCATTTCTTCATGCCCGTTAGGTTCCCCTGCCTCCTCTCGGAGCTGCGGGTGGACCTGTTGCTACCGAACAGAAGGGCCAGTTCCGGCTCTGCGACGCGGTGTGTTTGCGACGTGTGGAGTGGCAATCCCAAAGTGAGCCGTGGAGGGTGGGGGCCACGTCCCCCAGCAGCATTGGGCCCAGGGTAATCGTGACAAACAGATGGTTCCAGGGGGAGGGAGGGGGAGGGGAGTTGGAGTGAACGTTTCACAGTTTAATCTTGTCGTGATAGACTGCTCATCGTCACTGGCCAGGCAAGGTGCTTTCAGCATGAGTCACCCCCGGTGGCCAACCGACGACCTAAACAGCATGGCTACCCTCAAGAGCACTCGTTAGGCCCTGGGCACTTGGTGGCTCAGGCAGAAGATGGAGCAGGGAGGACAGAGCAGCCAGGAGGAGCTGCATCTGCGGGTGCTCGTCACCCCCCAACAAAGTCCCTGTGTGGACAAGATGGGGAAGAGGAGATTTCGGTTTCTCTTCCCCAGGTGACTCTTAGAAGAAAGCAGCACAGGTCGCCAGCTTGCATGATGCCTTTTGAGACTGGGACTTATCCCCTTCCCCATCCCTCCTGCGTCCCTCCCCTCCCCTCCCCTCCTGTCCTGTCCCCTCCTCTTCTGTCCCCTCCCCTCCCCTCCTCTTCTCTCCCCTCCCCTCCCCTCCTCTTCCGTCCCCTCCCCTCCCCTCCCCTCTTGTCCCCTCCCCTCCTCTTCTCTCCCCTCCCCTCCCCTCCCTCCCGTCCCGTCCCCTCCTCTTCCGTCCCCTCCCCTCCCTCCCTCCCTTCTGTCCCCTCCCCTCCCCCCCTCCCCTCCCGTTCCCTCCCTCCTCTTCCGTCCCCTCCCCTCCCTCTGTCCCTCCCCTCCCCTCCCCTCCCTCCCCTCCCCTTCTGTCCCTCCCTCCCCTCCCCTCCCTCCCTCCCGTTCCCTCCCCTCCTCTTCCGTCCCCTCCCCTCCCCTCTTGTCCCCTCCCCTCTCTCTCCCCTCCCCTCCCCTCCCCTCCCCTCCCCTCCCCTCCCCTCCTCTTCCCTCCCTCCCCTCCCTCCCCTACCCTCCTCTTCCCTCCCCTCCCCTCCCCTCCCTCCCCTCCCTTCCCCTCCCCTTCCTTCCCCTCCCCTCCTCTTCCCTCCCCTCCCCTCCCCTTCCCCGCCCCTCCCCTTCCCCACACCTGCCTGAGGCCTGTCTCTCTGAGACCTTCTAATGTCACTGTGTCTCCAAG